TGGAAAAAAACAAAGCCAAAAAGAGAGCCAGAAGAACAAGAAACCAGGAAGACAAAAACAAAACAAATCATCCAAACAGAGAAGTGAAAACAGCAATGGCAGAACACAGAAGCCGAAGGTGGGACAACTACGTACAAGAAATGGATGGAAAAAACCACACGTTTCCGCAAAACTAGAGGCCGATAAGCTTACTTCCAGCAGTCAGCAAAATTGTAGATGTTCTCAGACTAACGAAGTACATAACAGCTGGATTCAATGGCAATGAGTATACAGGAGCAGCCTTCCTGGACGTAAGCAAAGCCTTCGACAGAGTCTGGCATGAAGGACTGACTTATAAAATGAGAAGCTATGGATACAGCGGAGCCATGACAGGACTTGGGTGGCCGGAGGTTTAGGGTTCGGATAGGATAAGTCATGTCCAAGCACGGAGCTCCGGAGACCGGAGTGCCACAGGGAGTAGTCCTGTCACCTCTGCTGTATACAATATAGACGATGTTCCAAGAACACCAGGAACATTCTCAGTCTTTATGCAGATGGCACAGCAATTGCGGCTAAACACAGAAACATTGATGAAGCTGTAAACAACTTACAGACAGCATTGGATAACATAGAAGAATGGAATATCCACTGGAAAATAGCCATCAACTCAGAAAAAATTCAAGCAGTCGTGTTTAAAAAGAGAAGAGAAAGAGAGAAAGAGAAGAGAAAAAAGAGAAAGAGAAGAGAAGAGAAACCCCAGGCGAACAGTTTACTAGTACAAACCAATCACGTCGAATGAAAAAGAGAAGCAAAATATCTAGGAGTCACAATGGATCAAGGACTAACCTTCACGCAACATGTGGACCAAACCATTCAAAAAACAACCACAGCCACAGCAGTAATAAGAGGACTCATAGGTCGAAAAAGCAAATTAAGACTAAAATGAAAATACGACTGATAAACAGCATCATACTTCCAATAATAACATATGGATCTCTCGCATGGGGACAAATAAGTAAATCAAACAAAAAGAGGATACAAGCAGCACATAATAACAACCCCAAAGGAGGGGTAAATATACCCCGATACGTTTCTAAACGTTTTCTGTTCAGAGAACTAAAACAAGTAAAGTTGACAGACATGATGGAAGAAAAAGCTAGAACAAAGTTTGCTGACCTAGAGAACCACCCAAGACCGATACTGCGAGAGATGATAAGATATGATGCGTTCCATTGATGGAAGCATAAAGGACCACAACAGCAAATCCTGGCCAACATATAAAGTCTAGAAAATCGTAGCTCTATCAACCGAAGACAACCCAGCACATAGTTGTCTATTACGATATTATTTTCATTATTAGATGATCTTTGACGATCGTGTAGTTGGTTTTTGCTTCCCTTATTTTAAGCCTTTTTTTCCTGCCGCAGGATCAATTTCCCTGAACTTTTCCATTAGTCGTTGGTTGCCCCACTAATGATAAGTGCATGACCTGCATATGCAGTAATTTGTACTGATTTGGTATTTATATGGCTGGTTACATTTTTCTGATGACTGCATATTCTAGTCGCTTGTATTCTCTTCTCGTTATAAATTCCCCTGCTTTTTCTGGTGTTTCTTTGAACTTGATTAGGTCTAGCTTGCTTTTTTCCTCTACTGCAGTTCTGCATTCATCATCATACCAATCCGTATTTCATTGGCTTTTCCGACCGTTTCCTCTGCAGATTCCGTTATTATTGATTTTAATCGTCTCCATTCTTCCTCTGCAGTATCATCATCTCTGGTTCCGTTAAGTTTTATTTGTAGAGCATTTTGGTATTTTTATTTCTTTGTTTGGTTGTTGAATCCTTCAACATTCCATTTTTTAATTCTACTATTTATCCCTTTTTTCACTATCGCGACTTTCTGCTGCCTCCACAAGATAGTAATTTGAATCAAAGTTCGCCTTAGGAGGCAAGGATACTTTAGATCGCCATTTTACACCATGTCATTAGAGGTCTTCGACCTCTTTATATTTTCAATTCCATTCTGTTTGATTTTGTGCTTGGTTTCACAAAGGGAATTTACGCCATCTATCCGTATATACATCATCATCATCTTTGGCTCTACAACCCTGGGTGGGTCTTGGCCTGTTCAAGAATTAGTCTACATTTCCCCCTATCTTTCGCCCTGGCTTTCCAATTTCTGACCCCTAGATTCCTCAAGTCATCTTCGGCCATATATACCTTTTAACCTTTATATTGAACCACAAGCTTTATGTATCTAAATTTGTTATTCACACTTTTGGTCTTGGGAGTGTAAAAAAGTAGCATCAGATATATAAAAGCAGAGATAAACACTGTTAAATGAGACGAGTATATCAATGATTAAAATTATAACACAAATAACTGATTTTTTTTATTTTTAAGAGTTTTTTTCTAGTTAATTAAATGTAAATTAAATATTGTGTGTATTGCGAACAATAAAATATGCCTACTGTATCATTCAACCATCGACTAATAAAAAGGTCCAATTATCGATATACATAACTGTTTTCATAGTTACTGATTATCAGTTCAACCTGTACATAATGACAACAATAAACATTACGTACGGACTAAACCACTTTTAGCAGATACCATAATACATTCACGATATATAAGCGTCAACTATAATCTTTTATATTTACGATTGCTATTATCCATTGCTCCTCCGCCAATATATACTCAATCCGACTGATTTTGCTCGCTCGTGAGTTCCTATTGAATATTAATATAATTATATAAACGGTCGAACCTACCGGAAGTAACAGCAAGACCTGAAAAGCATACAGTAAAAATATTTACCTAGACAGGAAACGGATGCATTCACCTGTAGAAGTGGTCGTTACGAAAAGTACCTGTCCCTTCAGGTATTGTTACCCTTGAGAACCAATTAAGATGTGCATCACTACTAAAGGAAGACTATATACGAGGACCATTCTTTATTTTGAAACATATAGTTAGAATCTCTTGAACTTATGGATCAGAGAAAAAAAACAAAGAAAATCTTCAATAATATACCATGATCAGAAGAACAATAAGAGCAGCCAAAGAGAAACAAAAAACAGAACAGTGGTGTAGAACATCGGGGGGATTTTATTTCTCCTCCTAAATGTTGCTAACTGCTTGTTGGAGCAGTACCTTCGATTTGGTTCGAGTGATAATAAATAATTAAAATGTGTTACCTTATGTTGGCGATCACAATTCTCGGATTACACTTAAAAACACTTACGAATTGAAAAACTTTATTTTGCACTATGATACAACATTCTGTAGTGAAATGAGAGAGTTATTTTTAACAACAAATATATATTATATGACTGATGTTGACTCTATTAATTTTAAGAAGGGAATGTAATGTCTACGTGATAATCTCGCAATTCTGAGCAAAAATATAAACAAAAAACTGTCGTGAATTCTCGGGTACAACTCGACCTAAACTCTAATGTCCAGTTGCACCAACAAATAAACGATTGATTTTTTGATTTGGATTGCCCGTTTATTTTAGAATGTGTTGCACCAACCATTACTCGATTGGAACCGACTGTTTTTGATCTGTCAAAAGTAACCAACCGATTTGCTACGGTTATTTAAAAAATCGACTGTTTTTAACCTTAACCTCACTTTTACAGTGTTTATATTATTAAAGTGTTTTTAGCAAAGATTTTATTTAAAGTATTATAGTATAGATTATAATTTAAAAAAATGGATTTATCATCATCGTCGTCGTCGAGTTCATCTTCTGACGATTTGGAAGATATAATGCATATGTTACCAAATATAAGATATGTAAGAGATCGCAACGATTTGTATAATAAATATAATGAAGCTGAATTTAAAGCAAGGTATATATATCATTATTTATCTGAATGACTAGAAATGCATTTTAATTATTTTTAGATATCGAGTAAGCAAGAAAACAGTGTTGGTCCTTTTAGAACGTTTTCATGAACATTTAAGTTATAGGACAGGAAGGAATAATCCAGTGTCTCCATTAAATCAAATTTTAATAACCCTAAGGTATTATGCAACCGGTTGCTTTCAACAAGTTCTTGGTGATCTTGTAGAGGTAAATAAAAGTACAGTCTGTAGAATTGTTCATCGAGTGAGTCATCATATAGCACTCCTTCGTGAAGAGTACATAACCATGCCTAAAAATCCCAGAGATATAGCTACGGTAAAGCAAGGATTTTATACACTGGCAAATTTCCCAGGAGTAATAGGAGCTATAGATTGTACTCACATTCGAATTAATTCTCCTGGTGGAGAAAACTCTGAACTATATCGTAACAGAAAGGGGTGGTTTTCCATTAATGTACAGATTGTATGTGATTCCAAGTTACGTATCATGGATATAGTTGCTAGATGGCCAGGTAGTGTACATGACAGTACAATTTATAACTCCAGTTTATTGAGAGCCCAATTTGAAGCTGGTGAATATCCTAATTGTTATTTACTTGGGGATAGTGGTTACACATGCACAAATTTTTTATTAACTCCACTTAGTCAAACTACATCTGAAGCTGAAGAACGTTATCAAAATGCCCACATAAAAACCAGAAATGTTATAGAAAGGTTGAATGGGGTTTTGAAAAGAAGATTTCCAGTTTTAGCTACAGGAATGCAAATAGCACTTAATAACGTAGGAAGAGTCATTGTTGCAACATCTGTCTTACATAATATTGCTATTGCAGAAGGAGATGAATGGGAGGAAGAAGCTTTTGCAGAAAATGTTGAAGATGAAATTCCTGTAAGAGGCAATGCAGAAAATGTTGTTAGAAGACATTTAATACAAAATATTTTTAATTAAAAAAAATCTGTTAATTTGTTAACAATGATTTGAATAAAAATTTTGTGAAATATATTTCTTAAAGAATTGTATGAAGTTTATATTGAAATTATTAATGATATTGTGCTTAAACCCCACCAAATAAGATAAAAATCAGGTATTAAATTTATTTATTAAACAAAAATGATAGTAAAAATTAAAACATATCTATAATATTAAACATTATATTCTTTTCCAAAACGCAGCTTATATTCTTCTAACTTAGTTGCCAATTCAACTTGTTTAATTTTTTTTTCTAATTTCACAACTTCAAGAGCTCCTTTTTTTATTTCTTCATCCAGCTCAAATAATATTTTGTCATTTTTCAATTTTTGGTCTTTTATTTCTTTTTCAATTTTAATTATATTTTCTTTATTTTTATTTTGATCCTTTATGTAGTCTTCCTTTTGTTTTATTTTATTTTTTTTTGTTGCTGTTAAAGATGAAATGTCATCATATAAATCAGAAAGTTTTCGTTTGCTTGCTAAAATAATAAAATTAATGTATTCTAAATATAAAAATAATCCTCATGTCAAATGAAATTACCTGACTTTTTTTCTTTTTGGGTTATCATTTTACTGGGACCTGGGGTATCTTGTACTGAAACCAGATCATGAGTAGTTTGCAACTCGCTGACACTGTGGACCATTTCAGAACAGTTCTGATATTCTGTTGAGTTAGTCATAAACATTTCTGTGTCGTCTAAAATAAATTTGTATTAATTTTTGCTTCAATCTGAATCTACAGAAATGTATTCTCAGAAATTTATAACTACAAATCATACTTAATTACCTAAATATTCTATTTCTTTCTCTTCAATAGGAACTACATCTTGATCGTTATTTGTAGATTCTAAAAAAAAATATTATGAATATATTGTAATGTAAACAAATTTTTACCACCTGCCTTCATAAAACGAAGTACTGGAATCATACACATTTTTGAGGGGTTGAAATTGTTCTCTAAGTGCTCCCAACAATTTTTCCTCACCAGGTAATAATATGGTTGCAGTTTGTTCTGGACCACCTCCTGTTTTGTATTTTTCTACCTACACAAATTTTATTACATCCATTAAAAATTTATTTAAAATGATTGTTATATCCTTACCTTTTCTACAGCTTGTTTCTTTTTAATCTTTCTTTTGATATTTTCATAAAATGTTTTTATTTGCTTCGAGTTGCGATGCGTATTTATGTTCATGGCATTAAATTCTTTGCTAATATTTTCCCATGCAATGGCTTTTTGTTTATTTGTCACACCATCCGTTTGCTTATTTTCTATTATAAATTTATATTTAATAGCTAAATCTAAAATAATATCTTTCTCTAAACTAGAGAAGTGGCTTCCTTTATTTTCCATCTTCAAGAAAACAATGTTTTATAATAATTCAATCAAAGAATATAGACCTTTTCAATGTTCAATTGGATTGGTATAACCTTACAAAACTTTCTTTGTTGACAATCTTTTTGACAGATCACACTCCGATTCGAATGAAATAATCGAAATAATCTGTACTCGTGCAATGTTGCCACGTATAAATTGTCGGTTTGTAAACCAATAGTTTTTTAGAATGGTGCAACTCGTTTGAAAAATAACCATTGATCGTTGATTTAAATCGTCGAATTGACGGTTAGCAAATCAGTTGATTTACAGTCTGTTGGTGCAACTGGGCATAAGATATTTGTTGATTCTGTAATAAGGAGCGCCCGTCATTTGGACCATAATTTTAGGTTGCGCTACGCAACAAATGGCTCTAAAAGATATTGATGAAGGCATCTCAATAAATGGAGTCAAGCTCAATACCCTGCGGTATGCAGATGATAAAATAGTGTTTTTCAATATAATAGAAACTTACAAAACTTACTGAACAAAATAACTGAAAAAAGTAGAAAATATGGACTGGATATAAACACCAGTAAAACCAAGCTAATGATCATCAACAAGGAAAACATAACTGGAGCAAATCTGTATGTGAACCAAATGAGAATTGGACGAGTCTCACAATACAACTACTTGGGAACTATAATCAATGAGTCGTGGGACAATACCCAAGAGATTAACTGTCACATCGGAAAGGCAAAAAGTGCATTCTTGACTCTGAGTTCTGTGTTCAGGAGCCATGACCTCACCCTAGAAACAAAAATAAGGCTCTTTAAATGTTATGTGTACTCAGTGCTTCTGTACGGAGTAGAAACGTGGACATTGAAGGCGGAAACTCTATCAAAACTTCAGGCTTTTGAGCTTATGGTCATACAGAAGGATCCTGAAGATACCATGGACAGACAAAGTCACCAATGAAGAAGTACTGGTGAGGATGAACACAACTGCGGATTTGATCAACATCGTGAAGTGAAGATACGAGCTACTTCAATGCATTTTGCAAGGCAAAATTGAAGAAAAAAGGGGTTCCGGACGAAGAAGAATATCCTGGCTTGCTAACCTGAGACCATGGTATAGAAAGACTTCAACACAGCTATTTCGTATAGCAAACAACAAAGTCATCATAGTCAGAATGATCGCCAACGTTCAGAACGAACAGGCACCCTAAGAAGAAGAATCTCATTAAAAGCAAATGAATTTATACAACTTGAACATGAGTTTCTTAGTTCTGAGCTTGCTTACATATGCTCAATAAACTCATAATAACACTTTTTACAACGGTTTTTTGCGAATTCGTCAAAAAGTGTATATTTTAGAAAAAAAAAACTTAGATATAAAAAATGTATCATATAAAAACAAAAGAATGGGGGTTTATGGTGTCTATAGCCCCAATGCAAGCGGAGAAATAGCTTATTGAAGGTTTGTTCTTCTTCGTCAAACGTCAAAATTGAAAGTTTGAACGGGAAATATATAGAAACCAATGCATTTTTTGTAAAAAACTCATAGAACTTTTCTCACAATTTTTTTACCCCTTTATTAATGTACTTATAGTATGCTCTAGAAGTTTTTTCTAGTTTAAAATGCTTATTTCTGAAAAAAAAAAATAAGTTTGAACCTTTTGGACCTTATTTCAAATAAATCGTAACCTACATATGCATATACATAATATATACGTATCGAAAAGCAAAACCTACAAATTTTGCTCTACCAAATTTTGCGCATCTCGAATAGTTTCGATTTATTTGAAAAAAAAAATGGAACTTTTTGTAAAAAATCCAAAAATTGTCACTTTAAACTCAATTGTTTTAAAACTAAGAAAACCCATTAGCGACGAGAAAAGAATAGCGATGAGAATAATTTTATTTAAAACTATGTGAAAACAAATTATTGTTCTTAAATTTAACCCGAAATAAAAAAATCTTTCTTTTTTGGAAAAAGAGGTGGTCCTATATGGGGCCACTAAAATTTGTTTCAGGATTGCAATCTGATCAATTGCCGATTTACCACCTCTGAAACCAGCCTGGTATTTTCCTACTATCCGTTCTACATATTATGATACCATACGGTGACATAGTACTGTGGAAAATATTTTATACGCTGCATTCCTCTGGGGTTAGAGCATTCAAAGAAATCTCCTTTTTTGTATGGTGCAAAGTATTCCGATATTCCAGTCATTGGGGATTGATTTCTGTGTCCATATTTCTTTTAAAAGCTGCTGTAATGTCATTATGATATCGTGGCCGCCTTCTTTATATAGTTTAGCTGGGAGATTATCCATTCCAGGTGATTTGTTTCTGGCTAATTTTTTAACTGCATCTTTAACTTCAAGAATCTTTGGTGGTTTCTCTTCCCTCTTGTCTGTTCTGCTTACCTCATCTCTTTCGTCTTCCGGGGTTTCTTCTTCTTCCTCTATTTTAAGTGCCTGGTTAAAGTACTCCACCCATCTATTCAATACATCTTTCCTTGTTGTTAATAGGTCTCCATTCTGACTTCTGCATTGTGGTTGCCTTGAATTCTTTTCTGTTAATATTAACCTTCTTATAGAATGCCCTAAATTCTTTCTCTTTGTTGACGTTTTTTATATATTTAAGTGGTTTGTTTTTTTTTCTTTTGTATGTCCTCTTCTCTTCTCTTTGTCTGTTAATTCTCTACAGTTGTTCTAGTTCGTCGGATAATCATCTTTCTATAGGCTTCATTTTTTTCTTTTGTTGCATTCTTGCATTCATCGTCAAACCAATGATTTTTACGGGCATAAATTTCTGTTCCTATTTCATCTTTCGCTGCTGCTTCAATGCCTCTTTGTTGTCCTTTATTCTGGTCCAGTAGGAGTCATCTGTCTGGCCTTCTTCATTTACATTCTGATTGATTTGTTTATTTTCTTTGCTGGTGAAATTCTAGCCCTCAATGTTGAGATCACTAGGCAATGTGATAGTATAGCTATAATAGTACTATATAATATACTGTCCTACGTATAGCCCTGAAATTCAACGGCTTGAACCTGATCCTTCAGATACATATGAAAATCATGCAGACTTGGACCTATTTACACTTTGCCACCGAGAAACAACATAATGAATTTCAGTGTAATAAAAATTCATTAATGAAAAATTATTTCAGTTGTTTTCAGAAGCTCAGCATATCTTTGAATTTGCCGAAACGTCTATAAAAACGAATGATGATGAATACCCAGAAATATATAAAAACATTCATTGTCTTCCATTTGGAAACAAGAATATATACTACCTAGGTATATATTTTGTTCGATTTCTTTAAAATGTGCTGTGAGTAGTTCCGATTACTTTTCTACCTTAATTACTTCTATATTTTCTCACTTGATCCGTTTTATCTTTGCCTGTTAATATTTCAATATTTGTTCTTGATAATTTCTAATTACAAACGTCATACTTGGGTAAATAAACTACATTAATAGCTCCCGTTGCCTCAGCTCCATTTAAAAAGTTAATTCCATATTGAACGATAAACAACAAGAAGCGATTTATGATCTCCAACCCGATCATTTAGTAGATCTCCATCCATAAACACAGTTATTAGATTCGAGCCCTAGATCTGCCTTCTATCTAATCAGAAGAAGATCGTACCAGTGCGTAACGAAAAGAAGAAAGATTTTTAATTATTAGTGATTATAGCCGTTAATGATCTGCTCAAGAACCTTCATCATCGTTATAAATATTAGATATGAGAGAGGTAAACGGAGTGTTCACTGATTATATTTGCATAAAAGTTGGTTGGTTGCGTTACAAGGAGACTAAAATTGAATTGAAACAGTTATGGCACCGGAGAATACGCTGCAGGGCCGGGCTATGTCTTAATTTATTTTCTTCCATATTTAATGTCTATTTCGCTTTTATTGTCTAATATTGTATATGATTCTCTAAAACTGTCACTTACTTTGATTTTATTCCATTGTATTTTAGATTATAATATATACAAAATACCGGTCTAAGGGTCAATGAAGAGAAAACCAAATATATGTGCATTAACAGACAAAAGGGACAAGATAGAATAGGACAAAATGTAACAATAGACCCCTATAACTTTGAAAGAGTGAAGAGTTTTAAATATCTCGGAGCGACTATCACCACAGATAACGATATCACGGAAGAGATAAAAGGGAGAATTCAGGCAGCAAACAGATGTATGTATAGCCTCCACAACACTATTAAATCCAAGAGCCTAACACGAATATCAAAAATCAGGATATATAAAACAGTAATTAGACCGGTGCTCATGTATGGGTGTGAGACGTGGACGCTGACAAAAGCAATGGAAAGTAAACTCAGAAGCTTTGAGAGAAAAATCCTCAGAAAGATCTTCGGTCCCTATCACGATCCGAATACTAACCAATACCGAATGAGAACAAATGCCGAGGTCAAACAAATGTATAGTGCTAGCGACGTAGTCCAAGAGATTAAATCCCAACGTCTAAGATGGGCTGGCCATGTTCATAGGCTCCCTAATAACCGCCTTACCAAGTTAATCTGGGAAGAAGTCCCGACAGGGAGAAGGCCCTTAGGACGTCCACGAATGCGATGGAGAGATAATATATGGTCAGGTTCGAGATGGAAGCAGGTTGTGCAGTCAGCCAAGACCCACCCCGGGTTGTAGTGCTACCAGAAGAAGAAGATTTGGAGTTTTTTATGCTCTAAACATTCTTCTAGAATTCTTTGAATGGCAGCATAATTTTTTAAAAATTTTTAAAAAAAGTATGTATTTGTGGCATGGACAAAATTTCTCATTGTTAGTCTGCGATTAGATCCAAAAAGTAATGTACGATTTGGACCAGTTTGCAGTTGTATGGG